TTTTCTTCTTTTCTTTTCTTTTCTTTTCTTCTTTCTTTCTTTCTTTCTTTCGAGAGAGAGAGAGAGAGAGAGAGAGAGACCTGGTGACGTTCTTCTTCTTTTTTGGGAACTAAACATTAAAGACTAGGACATTAAAAAACAACAGCATATATGGGGAAAAATAGAAAGTAACTGTGCGTGCCAGGGAAAAGGCTCAGGAAAGACCCAAGAAGACCTTAAGTTTATGCTTTAGGCTGACCCCTCAACACAGAGAGAGCCTACAATGATTTTTTTTTAAGAATAAGAACAATAACAACCAAAACCTGAGAAAGGAGGAGAATCTGATTGCCAAAGTTACCACATTATTAGATTCAAATGTCCAGTGCTCAACAAAAAAATGACAAGGCATACAAGGAAACAGGAAAGCATGGCCTTCAAATGAAAGAAATATATCAATAGAAGCTGTCCCCATAGAAGAGCTAATGTCAGGTATATTAGACAAAGACATTAAAACAACTGTCTTAAAGAGGCTCAAATAACTAAAGGAAAATATGGAGAAACTCAATAAAATGTTGTGTGAACAAAATGAAAATATATAAAAAAAGAGGTAGAAAACCTAAAAAGAAACAAGAAACAAATTCTGGATCTGAATGTACTATTACTGAAATGAGAAATTACCCGTGAAGGACCTGAAGGCAGAGCTGAGCAGAAGAAGGAAGAATGTTTCTTCCTCCGGCACTCTCACAGGCTCTGCTCACTTTTCTTCAGTCTTTTTTTCTTCCTGTTCTTCAGCCTCAGTGATTTCCATTTTCTTTCTGGTGAACCTGAAGGTGTTGCAATGGAATAATTATGAGAGTGCCAGAGGAAGAGAGGAGGGAAAGGGGCAGGTAGAATATTGAAGACACAATGGCCGAACACTTCCCAAGCTTGAGTAAAGGCTTACACACAAACATTCAAAAACCTCAATGAATTCTAAGGAAGATGAACTCAAAGAGACCCACACTGAGACACATTATAATGAAAATTTAAAAAGACAAAGGCAAAGAGAGAATCTTGAAGGAAGCAAGAGAGAAGTGAGTTATCTCATACAAGGGATCCTCTGTAGGATTTCTCATTAGAAACGTTGGAGGCCAGAAGAAGTGCTGTAAGGAGGGGAGGGGGAGAATCACACACGAATCCCACAGCTGGCAAAGCTGTCCTTCAAGAGGGAGGGCGAAATGAAGACATCCCCAGGTGTGCAGAAGCTGAGGGTTTTCCGTCAGGTGGGGCAGCCTCTGTGCTCCCTCCTCCCAACGTGGCTTTCATGGCCGCTGGGATCTCATCCCTCTTCCTGTCTTCCTGGAAGACAGAATCAGGGAAGGAAAAACGAAGGAGGGGCAGGAGAGTCTAATAGACTTTGGCTTCCGTAGAAATCAGACTACGTAAAGGGAAGGCTGGCAAGGAGAACCTGGTCAGAATCTCATCCCACGGTCATTATCTTTGAGTATTTTGAGTCTAAAGTAATTGAAACAGGCTCTTTCCTATCCTGAACGGAAAGGCAGCATTGGACCCAGGGACCATGGAGACCCTCAGAGGGACAGGGAGAGAACCCAACTCTCTAAACCAATTCCTTAAGCACCTGAGGGGTGTCTGGGGTGACGCCCACGAGGGAGGGAATGTTTGTGTTTTATTTACTCTCCAATCACTGTTCCCTGAATAAGATGTGTGCTCCAGAAATAGTTGTTGGAGGATAAAAGGATGAATGATTCCACACCTGGCCCACCCGTTCAGTGCGGTGGGGCCAACTTCAGAGCCTGAGGTTGGAAGAGCAATTTCCCTGCTTCTTCCGTGAGAGGGACAAGAAGAGCCCCAACAGGTGTCGCAAGTGGTTTCTGGTGTGAAGTGAATTTGTTCCACAATCATTTGAATAGAAACCCTGGGAAGGAAGCCTTAGAAAGTCCAAAAGCGATTTCCCATTTGGGGGCGGGGAGGATGTGGGATATCCGTTTTGAAATGGTTATTTGTGACCATTTGCGAGCTTTTCTTTGTGTTGTGATTTATGGTGCAAGGAACAGGCTGTAAAAAACACCTGTGCCCTCTCTGAGGCTCGAACTCAGGACCTTCAGATTATGAGACTGACGCGCTGCCTACTGCGCTAAGAGGGCAACTTGGAAAGGCTTACTGTATTGCAAATACACTAGGAAAGATTACCTTTCAAGCACCGTGGTGGCATCACATCCCAGCTGTTAAACAGCACAATCCATCCTGGTTGACAATGATTCCTAATGAGCCAGTGTCGTTTCCCTTTCATTTTCCTCTGGCCGTTTTCAGAAAAAAATTTTCTTTAGTTTTCAGACGTTTGATTTCGACACGCCTGGGTGCGGATTTCTTTGGGTTTCTCCTGCTTGTGTTTGGCTGAGCTTCTTCAACCTGGGTTTACGCGTTCTGCACTTTCCAGGACTGTGTCGAATTCAAGGCCAAGTTGCAGGACACGTGGGGAAAAATACCAACTTAGTAGACCTCACCCTTGTGGGATCACAGCTCCTCGTGAGAAACAGGTGAATTCTGAATTGGAAGATCTATATGTTCTGGACTTAGGGTTAACATGAGAACCGAGGCTGGGGCAGTAAAAATTGGAGAATGTGGGCATCGATCCCACTACCTCTCGCATGCTAAGCGAGCGCTCTACCATTTGAGCTAATTCCCCACCTGCTTCTTCACTCCTCCACAGGTCAAAATTAGAAAAATGGCCAGATGACCGCTATGTTCAAAACAGTGCACAGCTGGTCCATGATTCTCTCTCATTGATGTTTCTCGCTCTCCCTCTCCCTTCCTCTCTGACATCAATAGAAATATATTTTTAAAAACGAGGCCAATCCTCACTCGGCCTCTGGAGCTGAGAGGGGGCCCACCTCCTTCAAAGCCAAGGCAGGGTGCAGAAGGGCCTGTGAACAGAACCCTGGTCCTGCTGGGAGGAGTGTGGGCGCGATGTGGGTGCCCGGGGGTGACAGAGGCCAGCCGTACTAGCTGCTACACCCGGCTTCATCCCCATTTTTAAAATAAGAGGAAATAAGTACTTTTAAGCATTTTGAAAGCTGAGAGCTCTGTTCCCTACATTAACCAGCATTAGACCGTAGCCAGAGTTCCAGATCTAACCGTCTTAGAACTGATTCGACCTACAGCTTGTATTCAGTACTTGTGCTCAGGACATGGCATTACTTGTCCATGCTTATACATTGGCATATAAATCAGAATTGTACAAGCGTGGCTATTAATAAAGCCACACATCACAGGGCCTTATGACTACATGGTAAAATGACACCACATTTCTGAATCTGGACTCAGGGGCGAACGTGCATCGCAGGGCAGAGACCTGAAGCTCCGCCCCAAACCACCGCCTCCATCTGCCTCGCGGAGAGGACAGGAGTGGTACTATTTATTCTGGAAATTGGTGATTTATGCTGCCTCAATTTGTCTATCAAATATATACCGTAACTCTCATTCGCTCCCAGACTTACTTTTGCAGCCTCTTTAGTAACCATCGATTTTAATGTTTCATCATCACAATCTGTTCACCTCCAGCATAACCCTAGTTAGCACTGTCTGCCTTACTGTTTGCTCTCGATGCTTGTCATTGTCCCCATAGAAATTTGATCTGGAAAGAGCGAGCAGGCTTAGAGAGACCCATACTAAAGTCTTGACTCACCAGGTATGTGAATTTGGATGAATCACTTTTGAGTCACCCCGTTACCTTATCTGCAAAATGGGGTGATGCTCACTTGGCAGGTCTGTTGTGAGATTACAGGACTCAGTGTCGGGCACGTCCTGTCGGTAAAGCGTGGCCACCATTGACAGATCTACCCACCATAGAACTGATATGACCTATAGCTGGTACTCAGTCCTTGCATCCAGTACATGGCAATCTTCTAAAGCGTCGCCTCAGTAACTCAAAGGGTATTTATCTATTCACCCAGCAAAATGTGAAACCCTGAGGATGCAAAGGTAAAGCTTACTCCTCATTGCTCAGGGAACTAACATCTAGTCAGAGAGACAAATCTAAACTCATAGCTACACTAAAACAGGAATAAAGGAAACGTGCTGGGGACGAACAGATCAATCCACGTGGCAGGGCCGTCAGGGACGCTCTCCAGACGTCGCACTGGAGCTTCATCTTGCCGCGGAGAACAATCCGACCAACGCTGTGGAGAAGGAAACGCAGGACTGAACGTTACCGCCTGGCAGATTTCAGGAAAAGCAGTTCCGGGAGGTGGAACGGTGTGAACTGGCGTGGAGGGGACTGAGGGGGCAGAACGGGCCGGAGGGGCTCGCCCGGAGCCTCGGGTACACTGGCAATGTTGTTTTTCTCTAGAGATGGTGGTTCCTTTCTGATCCTTCCAGCAGTACTTTTTTCGCATGAATGACATGAATCACAATAAAAATATTAAAACATTTTGAAAGATAGGTTGGCATCAACTTATAAAGATCTTTATTTATCAAGATAAGGAATTTATCCTGAAGGTAAGAACAAGGCAAAGTGGTTTTTAAGGAGAACATTCTCAGCTCTGTGTTCTAAGAAGAGGGGCTGGTCACATGGTGGAGACCGCAGTGGGGAGCCACTCAGAGCCCCTGGCCTGGCAGGGGTGGCCCAGGCCCGGCTGGCCCACGGTGTGTGGAGGGCTCAGACAGGAGCAGAGGTCTGGCTGG